TCGAGGAATTCCATCAAGAACTGAAATCTATGAAAAGATTTAATTGATTATTGTAGAAAAAAAAGACAAATACCACAATACTGACTTATTCTATCAAATAGACTTATAAAACCCCAAAAATACATAACAGACCTCAACCCAAAAAAATACCGAAGGTGTAAATTTTCAAACTAAAAAAAAATGTTGGAACCCCCCCATCATGTATGGTACGAGTACCCTCCCCCCCATGGCTCTGTCACACAAATTCAAACTGGTTTGAATTCCTGTGACATATCACAGGGACAAAATAAGCGCAAGCAGCCTTGTCGCAGCATGTGTACACTTCTGCAACAAGTCACTGTTACAAAATTAAAATCAACCAGAGTTGCTGGAGCTTATTTAAAAGTGAAATGCCAAAAAATGCAAAATTTGTATGGCAATAACACCATTTTTGCAGGGACATTAACATGACTAAATATGCATAATAAATTAGTATCTACCATGAAACTAGACATACCTTTCATCCTGAACAGATCTGTAAGGAGCCAAGAATGGCTTACGCTTCCTCTGGTGTTCTGTAAGACTTCGCACATCAAGGCAGTCAAAGAACTAGTCCACCATCTCGCAGATTCTGGCAGTACCTTCAGCCACTGGTGGGCCAAAGGTCTTTAGCACTGATGCTACAGAGGCACTCAAGACCTGGGCAGCGAGTTTCACCCGCATAACAGAATAAGCATTCAGATTGATATGATCATATGTCAGCCTCAGTAAAAGTTTCAGACGATTATCAACATCCTGGAAAAACATCTCTGTGATGTGCTGCCACAAGATGTAATTGCCATTGTTCCACATATGTCTTGTACAGGTGCCAGAGCCTGAGCTCTTCAGGCAGTTCCGGGTGGTTTTCACAAGGTGTGGTGCATCTGAAAAAAAGTATATGAAATGGTGCGGGGCACAAAAGTTCACTGTGCGGTAGCATAGGTCACCACCAGCACCAGCATTGAGTTATTTATGCAGGCAATAAAATCTTCTGTTTGGAGAGGCACCATCTGAGGTTGCCGCGACAACCCACAAGTTGCAGGAGGTTTCCAGGATACCAACTGCCTCCAAGAACAAAGGCATCATTTGTGCAGCAGTGATCCCAGATGTGGCAAAGTGTGCAAGTGCAAACTTCAGTTCAGTGCACACTCCTCGTACAAGAAATACGAGAGCATGTGATGCAATGACATCAACTTTCTCTAATGCAGCAAAGTTCAGTTCTGGGTCACCAAGGTCTGTGAAACCAATAAGTTCCCCAGTGGCCTTGTCTAGAACAAGATTTGCGTTCACCTTCATTTCATCAAATAATAAAACAATGTAACGCTGAACATCAAAATAGCTTGATGTCTCTGACTTGAGCACTTCAATCACTTCCTTCTGAAACCCTCTCTAAGGTTTTATTGCATTTCTGTAGTCCTTTAACCTTCTTTGGCTTGGCAGAACTAGCACCCCACTGTTGCATAGTTCCTCATAACAAGATGGACTCTTTGCAGCCAGAGATAAAAAAAACCTGATTATCATCGGGTGATAACGCACTCCGGTAGTGCTCCTAGTAAACAGCTTTCTTTGTTCTTGCCAAAATAACTTCATGAATTGAGTTATTTTAGTGTCTGCAGAATCAAGGATTTTCACAAAGTCATTGCTGAGTTCATTGTCAATCTCCATGCTTGACTTTTCTAGTTCTACACGCATTTCAAACAATGCTTGTTCAAGCTGTGCGCACTTCAGCCTCTGCTCCTGTAATGTTAACTTTATCCGCTCTGGATCTGTCTTTGACACCGGGGCATTCATTCCTTTGCTTTTTGTGCACTGTTTGCACATCCAGCTTATGTTGTGCACACACAACAAGCTTCTCCTTGTTCCTGTATAAGTAAGCATCCCTTGGCTCTCCAAAAACCTTTATGAGGGAACTGTTGCTGTTCTTCTTCTTCTGCTTCTTCTTCTTCATGTTCACTTACTGTGTCATGATTAATGGGAACAACGTGATGAGATAGCTTACTAGTTAGTTCCAGTGTCTTTGACTAAATTTGACATTGTAACATTTTGCATCGATCGACGGTACTCCAGATATAGAGGGTGGTCCTCCACTAAATAGCAACCATACACTTTCACAGTGAATCCCAGGCCATCATCTACGATTATTTCAAGCTGTGGCAGCATATGTGGCTCAGTCATTTTTTTGAAGACAGCTTTGTCCACTGAGAACTTCGACATCCAGTCACTTATTGTTTTCAGATTCTTTGCTCGCTGACTGAACTCCTGGAAAGTGCTATAGAATGATGTAGAGGCAGGGATTTCCACAACATCTTTCACCACAGAACGCTCATGTCATGGAGTTGGCTGGCTGCTTTGGTGGCTTTTCCTTGGCGTTTGGCGCTTTGGCAACACTCCGAATCGAAGTTTCTTTTTATCGTCATTTTTTTGCCGGGAACTATAACAGAAGGAAACGAAAATATTTGTTCATAAATACGGCTTATTTGAGGAAAGGAGAGAGTGCTAACTTCACCGATCTCCTGTGTTGTTTACATGTATAGACGTTTCGAGGCTTCCCAATCTGACGAATTTACAAAGCCATACTTACATGTTTCAATATCCTCGGGGTCAAAATGCTTCTCGCATGTGTAGATCTTGTCATCTTTGATTTGCCTCCTGAAATCCTGGTCGATTTCCCTGGTTTTTTTTAGCTCTCCTAGCTACTCGTCATGCCATCTTCTGTGTGCATCATCCTTAGGCAAAGGCACCTTGAAAATTCCGATACCTTTGGTTCTTTTACACGAACCGCAGCCATAAACTGAACAGTTGACACCCGGCATGGCTCAGTAAACCTTTTCTTGTCAAATTTGGAATAAACTGTTGTTTGATTTTCAATGAAACGAGAGAAAAGACGGGCGATTCGCAAGGCGACTACGGACTGGTCGCCATCTTGAAGATCTGTGTGCACCATCAAAATCACGTGACATGCAAAAAAAAACACAACAAAGAGTTCGGCATTTGAAGGTCGCCGGCTTTCATAACCAGTCTCCCTCCATTAACTATGATGGAAGCAAAGAAGCTATTCATTGAAGAAGCAATGGATTGGGATGTTATATGCTGAACACCATCAGAGATAATACACTGAATACTCTCTAAAGATGAGTTCCGATTGCATGCTTCGTTCACTGCTTTCCACACCTTTTCTGAGTCACCCTTGGCTTCCTCGATCATGTCACAGTAATATTTAGACGTGGCAGTTCGTACTAAGCCATTAACTTTGTTCCTAAGCTTTGCATACATTGACCAATGACGCGCTGAGTTCGATTTCGTGCCTTTCTATGCGCCCAGTCACGTTCTTTCATAGTATCACTTATTTGACTGTTCACCCATGGAAGAGGTGTTCCCTTGACACACCTTCTTTTTACTGGTGCGTGTTGATCAGCAACCTCTGAAAACATTTTATTCCACTTAAACAAGGCAAGGTCCCTAAACCCTAACCCTAGAGTATATTGAATTAAAACTGCCCCAGCTCGTTTTCATAATCCTACGTTACATCATATTCAACTTTTGATAAAAAACATTTGATCGCAAATATTCCGTTTATGTGATTGTTGATTGATCATATATTGATTAGAAGATGACAAAAGGCAAAACTTTACTCAGACACCAATCAATCAAATGCAGTTGATTGAAAGGATGCTTGGAATAAATCACTAGCTGACATTTGAAGAAAAATCAACTTGTCTCAATATTTAACAAGGAAATCAGTATAACAGCACTGTTTGGAAGGAGAATTTAGCCAGTCCATCAAAAAGAAAAAAATTACTTTCAAACTGTAAAATAGTAAACATAAACACATAATATATGCTTGAAATGGTTATCGTTTTTTTAATCAAATGCATCGTAAATACGGGAGCAATTTAAGTAAATACATATAGAAATCTGACATGAAAGCTAAGGCAAAACGCAATTGTCTGCATGAACTACATGACGCGCAAACGAAACCGAAAGTGTTTCGGTCATCAGCGCTTGCAAATCGATAATTCGGATATTCCTTTTCACTCTCCCGAATTACGTATTTTTTTCCAAGGTCAATGCCAGGTATTGCCTGCGAATTTTTGAGAATTCGACAACTGTAACATGTTCAAACAAGCTCGGTTAAATTAGCTTATAACTTGCAATTGAGTAACAGGAAGCAGCAATTGACAATTAATACACGCCAGAATCTGGTAAAAGTTAGCAATCCTTGTCAGATAGCTGCAGGAATGTCTTTCATGGCCGGAAATCAGACAAAATTAGGACACATTAAGAATATTTGTGGGAGAAAATGTTAACTAAGAAACTCAAATAAAGGTATTTAATTTATATTCAATAATCTATATACAACCATGCGTTCTTACCTCTGTTGCGGAAATGGAAGGCACGTTTAACTGTTTTACGACCTTACTTCCTCAATCCGTCATGGAAATGTTTCAAAAAAAGTCACCAAGGCCAAGAAAGTACCAAGAAAGCCTCGAAACCTGTGTTATACAACGAAGAATATCCTTGGCGCATTGTGAAAATAAAAGGGGGAGTCCCCTGGCCCATAACTCTGTGCAAGCTTGAAGCCGGAAGTGCTTCAGCTGAAATTGAAAGAAGAGCCTACACAAACTGTTTATATACACAAACATTGTGATAGTTTTTCTCCAAAATGTTTAACCTGGGGTCAATTCAATAAAACTTTTACACTTGTATTCTACACGTTGGACCGTTGCTTTTACAAGCGCGCAAAAAATCCAATTCAATAACTGTCTTTACAAGCCAAAGTTACAAGTGTCCGACTTGTAGTTACAGGTTTAGAGCTACACGTGTAGAATGTGAAATTAGGTCAGTTCACTAAAACGTTTTAAAGGAGTCCAACTTGTTTTTGGCCTGCGGTCCACTTGTAAAATACAAGAGCAAATTACAAGTCATAAGTCACTTGTAAACTTCGAGAGCAAATTGTTGTTGGCCTCATTTAAAGAGATAGCATGTCCTCTTCGAGTGAAGAAGAAATAGATGAACTTTTGAGAAATAGAATAAGACGACAGCCGAGGAATTTTGAGGAAAGACGGCTTTTAGACGTAGAAAATCCACGCGAATTTCAACAGAAGTTTCGTCTCCCAGTCAATGCATCCGAACATTTACTGGCAGCAGTGGGTCCGCAATTGGAACACAGAACACGGTGCAACAGAGCGTTGACGGCGAGACAACAATTGTTAGTATTTCTCCACTTCCTTGGTACGAACTCGTTTTACCATGTGATGCATTCGTGCCATGGAATTTCAACATCAACGGTTTGGAATGTCATAGACCGCGTTACGCCAGCAATACTAAGTTTACAGCGAGAACTTGTTTGTTGGCCCAAGCAGCCCCTTCGAATCGCTTCAAAGTTTCATGATATAGCTGGGTTTCCTTGTGTTGCTGGTTGCGTGGATGGAACCCATGTTCTGGTAAATCCCCCGGCTGGTGATGAAGATGCATACGTGAATCAGCATCATACGAAATCCCTCGATGTGGCCATGGTTTGCGGCCCAGATTACTCAATATATTTCTGTAGCAGCCGATGTCCTGGGAGATGGCATGACTCGCGGGTTCTCAAAGAGAGTACTCTGTGGACTGCATTTGAAGAAAATGCTCAGAGGCCATTCCCTGGAGCAGTAATTCTAGGCGACTCTGCCTACTCGTGCAACAGCTGGCTGATTCCTCCTTTCAGGGGAGATGTAGAAGGTGCTCGCCTCAGGTTTAATGAGGCACACAAGAAAACCAGAAAGCACCATAGAGAGAGCCAATGGTGTTATAAAAAAAAGATTCTACACTACAAACAGGCTTAAGAGTCAGAAGTATGGAACGAGCTGCTAAACTTATCCAGTGTGCAGCCATACTACACAACATTTGCATACTATTTAACAATGATGGTGCTGATCTTTTGGATGACGAAGATTTGGAAATTGATGGAGGGGAGTCTGCCGAGCAAGACGAGGGGCAGGAGGACAGACGACAAGAGCTCTTGGCGCATTTTCTTTGAATTAAAGTGAGACAATGTCGATCGATGTGAAATCAAATTGTTAAGGGCCTTAAAAACATTTAGTTTACATTTCTTATTCGATCTTCATTATTTGCAGATATTGTATTTATAAAACTATAATGATATGCTTAGGACGATCCCCTAGCCCAAATATGAAATTGAAAAAGAACAGAAGCTGTCATTGAAGTCATTTCAATAATTATTGATATCCTCTTGTCCGTTGCCCTCCCTCTAATAATTAAACAAATGATTGCAAACCACCAACCTTCTAAGACTAATTGTTTTTATTAACGGCGTGATTACTTTCTAACAAAGTGATACAATTCTGTAAATTATTGACATTATTAGCTTTCATTCTCTTGATTGCACTTACGCAATTCTCAAACTTAACAGTCAAATTATTTCTATTAATCCATCGCCTCTAAATCTTTCTTCAATATTTTAATCTCCAAGGACAACTTTGAACACTCTAAAAGTAGTTTTCTTTTCCTAATTCGTAATATGTCTTCTTCTAATTCTGCTGTGGAACTGACAGTGGCCTTTTTCAGCCCCTTCTTCGATTTGATGGTAGGCTTTTGGAATACTGATGTCTTGTCTTCTTTGGCTTCGTTTGGTTTGGCTGAAGGTTTTGTTTCATGCTTTGCTTTTGCATCTAAATGAACAAAAGATTGGTAGATACATGAAAATCTCATCTTTAAACTCATCGCGTTTGAACGAAGCTAAGTTGCGATTAAAGTAAGAAAGAAACATTTTCATTTGGGAACGCGATAATCGCGCCTGACCTAGCTTCAAATTGACAACTTGCTCGCAGAGAAACGAAAGAAGGACATTTTGATTTATAAATGTTGTTTCTGGTTATTCTAAATTATCTCACCTTCCGTCTCAGGTGTAGTGCAGACAACCTATTCACTCTCAAACACAATTGGTGTGTCTTCAACCTTCACAGGCTCCAACTTTGCACTCTCTCTTCCAAGTATATCAAGGACTGTATCATCCAGCTCTGTGAGTTCACTCCCTCCTGCACCGGTCTTTTTCGAGTCACTGACTTTTTTTATCGTACCACAGCGAATGTTTGCCCAGATAACATCTCTCAGGGTTTTTATGTTGTTGACGTTCGCTCCAACACCATTCAGTTGTCTTAAGATGCTTTCCCACGCCTCCTGTTTTGCCTTTTTCGTTACAGTCGAGGAAAATGGAGCCAAAACAACTGATTTGTTATCCCTCACAAGCTGCGCTAATAGCAATTTCTGGGATTTCGACAACATGCTGAAACGACAGGGAAACGATTCACAAAAATAACAGCGTGATCTAGTCTCCTTCGTAGCCGTTCATAGACTCGTCACGCAAAGCTCCTCCCTACGAAGGATTGCTTAGTTATGAACTAAGGAGAACTAACTTAGCACGGCTGCGAAGGAGACTTATCGTGACGATGCCCGGAAATTTTTCCAGACTATGATCACAATTTTTACCTACGTGATCATCCTTTGTGATCACGCCTCTATGTTAAAAGGGGTCTAAAATAATAGTAATGATAATTTAAAAAAACACCCATATTTAATTTGGAGATTGGTGCTGATTGAAGCACTTTCACTTTCGTAAATAGAGTGAAAGTGCTTCGTTCATCACTAAACACAAAATTAAAGCAATCCCTTGGACTTTCCTCGAAACAATTAAGAATCATTCATTTTTTCCTTGATAGATACCGGTTAATTATTTCCTGTTGCTTTTTGTTGTATTCGTCAACTCTGAGTGTAAGTTTTAATTAAGCAAGTGCACCGTAGCGCCAGAGTCAAGTAAAAGTTAGAATCCTCGGCAGTTGTAATTCTGTGCCTTCATAACCAGAATTAAAAGAGAATTAGGATAAGTTAAAAAAAAAATTGTAGGAGAAAACAACAACTGAGAAGCTCAAAATAAAAATTATTTACTTAGTATACAAAAACCTCACACCACCTCGTAGAGTGTCCACTGCTAAATCCCACTAAATTTACAACTTTATTATTTCTTTTTTTTTAAGTAAATACCGTTTCTTTTCCTCTGCAATTTTTTTTGTGAATTCGTTAGCATTTTAAGGTAAGTTTTAAAATAACGCTGGACGGCAATTCACTGCAACGAAGTATTCCAATTAAGTTAAGGAGAGTATCACACCACCAGAAATCAAAGAAAATCCAAAAAGATTTCAAAAACACTTGAAAGTGTTAATGTTGACAGAGAAGCTCAAAATAAAGGTATTTACCTAATGTATACAAATCCTTTATAACCATGTAGAGTCTTACGCTGTTGAATATACAGATGCGACGTTTGATTGTTTTATAAGCGTTTTTCCCAACCTCGCCACCTCAATCCGTTATGAGAATGTTTCAAAGGGATTCAGTAAGATTAATAAGGTCCAAATGAAATTGAACATAAATATCAACGAACGAAAAATCTCGAGAAAACGATTTGAACTGTGAACTTGCGGAAAGCGATGCTGCCTTTTATTGGGAGTTGTTTTGTCAGGGAAAAACCCTAGGACCAAGATTCTGTGCAAACTTGAAGTACATGACATAGAAAACCGGAAGTGGAGAACTTCTTTTGTGTGGTATGACGAATTGTGGCTTTGAGGTTTACAATACACACTAGCTTCTTTCATGCGTCGTACTATTCCAACATTGACATTCAAAACAAGGTAATAAATTCTATAAATTAGACTTGGCAGTTCGTACTAAGCCATTAACTTTGTTCCTAAGCTTTGCATACATTGACCAATGACGCGCTGAGTTCGATTTTCGTGCCTTTCTATGTGCCCAGTCACGTTCTTTCATAGTATCACTTATTTGACTGTTCACCCATGGAAGAGGTGTTCCCTTGATACGCCTTCTTTTTACTGGTGCGTGTTGATCAGCAACCTCCGAAAACATTTTATTCCACGTAAACAAGGCATTGTCGATGTTGTCCTCGTTTTCAACAATATGCTAGGGAATATTCCTAAGATCATCATCTGAGCTGTGCTGTTTTCATTGCAATTTATGACATAAGCACCCTGGACAAATCACCATGCAGATAAATATCCAAACATTGCACATATTATTATAGAAACACCAATGAAATACCAAGTGAGCTTTTGCACGAAAACATGTTATCCTCACACATGAAAAGATCACCGCTGCTATGGTTACCAATGATTTGGTATTTCATTCCTGTTTATAGAATAAACAGCTGCACTCACTTGTGAAATATTTTTCAACTCTCGAAGATAAATTTTTTATCTCCACGTGGTCATGTAATATCCTCTATATCTGTATTAAGTCTGTAGAACCAGTTTAATAATTCACCTTTTTCAGACACACCATTATTGAAAGTGAGAGAAAGAGGTACACCTGTATATTCATTGAAATACTGTAAGTTACCTTTTTAGTTATAATCATTAAAACAGAAACCACCATATTATTGCACAACTTACTTGTAAAAATTCAGAAAAAGCATTAAAGCATCTGCTTAATTAAAAAATATCTCGTTCGCCGTTTCGAACAGGCAAATGCTATAGATAACTCAGTGGGTAAGCTATCAAAAAAATTATACAGGAAACTAAGACGAGCAGTTAACTAAGACATCTGAATCTTGCTTTCTTATAGCTTTTATGTAAAAAAAAAATACGTACAAATGATTACTAGAATATATATGCTTTCTTCTGCTTGACATGAGCACAAACAGGAGCAGAACTTGCCTTGCGTAATCACCCTGCTGGACAAACGCACTGATGGAAAAGAGCTTACTGAGGGGTGGGCAACACAACTTGAAACTTCCATCCAACTTTCCAGCTGTTCCTCTGTTGCTAAGATAACATGTCTTTCTTTGCAGGTTTCAACTTCTGCACAGGAAATTTTCTGGTATGCTTCACACATTGATTATGAATTCAAGGCCAGTTGGTTCTGGTAGACATCTCGCCTGTCTGCAACAGTTGGCTGCTCTGACTGATGTCTCAGGCTTTGGCGGTGTCAGCAAGGCAGCATTAGTCACCATATAACCAGGCAAGATAGTTGACTTCTGAAACATATTCAAATACAATGATTCAACATCTTAATTTTTAACAAAGTTGCAGCCCTCACTTCTGATAAGAGATAAACTAGGTTTCATTTCAGGGAAACATCTTTATTCCCCCATGGCCTGATTGTTCAAAGGTTGGATAAAGCTATCAACCCAATAAATCACTATCCAGCTGTTTGTTGTAGTAGTAGAAACTTTATTAATCTCCTCTAAAAGGCTTTTCAGCTTAATTTTCAATGTCAAATATCCAAAACTTATTTTTCCAAAAATGCCCTTAAAAAGTGCTGTTTTATTTTTGCTTTAAATACATCCAAATTAGTGATAGACTGAAACTCATCCGGAAGACTATTCCATATCTTTTGGCCTCTGAAAGTAAATGCATGCTGACCTGCAGCCGTCCTACATAGTGGTATATGTATCTGTAGACCAAAGTAGCATGAAACCATGTCTGATGATCAAATTTCCTCGTTCCAGAAACTATCTGGGCTGCAAAGTTTTACACTGTTTGTAATAGCTCAATGTTTTTCTTGGTGGTATTAGCTCATACTGATTAATTTGACAAAGGCTACCTATACATTTCGAAGTTACTTGAGTTACATGTTCGTCGTACGTTAGATTACAGTCCATTGTAACTCCCAGGTTTTTCGCAGACTTAGATGATGTAATGTCCTTGCTGAGTAGTGTAATGCTTAGATCATCTGGTATTTTCGTCAGCATCTGCGGAGTCCCCAGAACTAGAAGTTTTGTCTCATGCGGGTTAATGAGTATTATGTTCTTGCAACACCATGTGGCTATGTTCTGAAGATCTTCTGTCAGCTGGTCTGTGGTTAAGGTGGCATCATGTACAGAAAATGAGAGGTATAACTGTGAGTCATCAACATAGCACTCTAACGACCCTACCTTAGGTACAGATGGTAGATCATTGATGTAGATATTAAACAATGCCGGGCCCAAGATTGATCCTTGTGGTACACCGT